GAGTATGTGATAAATTGGTAATACTTGAGAATTGTTTAAGAAATTTATATTCAGGAATAAATAATAATAACAATAAAATAATAATAATAATAATAATAATAATAATAATAATAATAATAATAATAATAATAATAATAATAATAATAAAACAATAATAATAACAATAACAATAACAATAATAATAATAATAATATGTAATAATAATATTAACAATAATAATAATAATAATAATAATATAATAATATATAATAATAATAATAATAATAATAATAATAACAATAATAATAATAATAATATTAATAATAATAAAACAATAATAATAATATAAAACAATAATAATAATAATAATAATAATAATAATAATAATATAACAAAATAATAATAATAATAATATTAATAAAACAATAATCACACAAACCCTTTAGTTACTCATATAACACAAAACAAAACCACGTATATCTTGTTTAAATGAATGTATAATACAGACAGTTTATACACCATACAGAAACAGATACTAACAGCGTATAATAAACTGTTATACACCTACAGTAATAACACAACAATGATGTATAATATAACTTGTATAAACCAAAACCTATAAACTTTAATAAACCACAAAATTATTCTTAAACACACACACAAATTTAATCTTTATTTAATATTTTTTTTTACAACAAACTTCACTTTCCAATTCATTTACAAGCAAGACGCAAGACCACCACACAGGGTTAATACCGGGTAAACCCAGAATGTAAACAACGTATCCCCCCCCCACCCCCACCACCGAACAGCTGATCATTGTTGACATACCGTTCCCGCGCTTTTACACTAATATCTCCCAAGCTTCTCAGGACGCACCAAATTGATATCTCTGTTTACACTGTACATTTTGAGAATATTTTGCCGGTGCATGTAGTACGGACGAGTGAGTGTGTGTGTGTGTGTGTGTGTGTGTGTGTGTGTGTGTGTGTGTGTGTGTGTGTGTGTGTGTGTGTGTGTGGGGGGTGGGGGGAGATGAGGGCGATAACTGGTGAGAGAGAGGTGGAAGAGAGATATGTTAGAATAGAGTATTGGGAGGAGAGGAATACAGTTGGGAGTGTGGGGAGATAAACAGACAGAAAAGAGAGCAGATAGACAGAGAGACAGAGAAAGAGACAGAGAGCAGAGACAGACAGATAAACAGACAGAAGAGAGACAGATAGACAGAGAGACAGAGAAAGAGAGACAGAAAAAGAGAGACAGAGACAGACAGAAAAAGAGACGAATGGAGCAGAGACGAACCAGAAAAAGAGGAGCAGAAAGAGAGAGACAGAGAAAGATTGACTGTCGATGACTGTTGGTCGTATTAGCTAACTGGGTAACCTGATGTTCCAATTTATTAGACAGTTATCTGGAAGCCGATGAAGTATTAGACTGATACACTGAATAGCACTCTAACGAGGCAATTCAGTAGTTAGCTCGTTAATATATCGAATAAAGAAGGTGTAACTAGACTATTAAGCGTTTGAAATTAACTGTAAGAGATTGTTGCCGTTGGTTGGCGGTGTAACGAGGCAATTCAGTAGTTTGGCTGTTATGTCATAAAACAAACCTCGCTGTAATTGACTGTTAGACCTAGTTCACGCTGTAACGATCCAATTCAGTAGTTCACTCGTTATGTCAAGGCGTATGGGAGCTGTAATTGGCTGTTCTCGCTGGCTAACACTGTAACGAGGCAATTGAGTAGTTAGGCTCGTTAAGTTGTCCTACACAGCAGCTGTTTGGTGGAGTTGTTATTTATCCTGTTCTTATTTGTTCATCTTTCAGGTACAGGTAAAATTACAGGTAAAATACAGGTAGATACGGGTACAGGTAGGTACAGGTAGATACAGGTAGATACAGTACAATTACAGGTAAAATACAGGTAGATACGGGTACAGGTGGATACGGGTACAGGTAGATACAGGTACGGTAGAAATACAGGTATATACAGGTAGATACGATACAGGTAGATACAGGTACAGGTAGATACAGGTAGATACGGGTCAGGTAGATGCGGTTGATACGGGTGCAGGTAGATACAGGTACAGGTAGATACAGGTAGATACGGGTACAGGTGATACGGGTAATACGGGTACAGGTGGATACAGGTACAGGTAGATAGTGAATGGGTCAGGTAGATCAGGTAGATACGGGTACAGGTAGATACAGGTATATACAGGTAGATACGGGTACAGGTAGATACGGGTACAGGTAGATACAGGTAGATACGGGTACAGGTAGATACGGGTAGATACGGGTACAGGTAGATACAGGTACAGGTAGATACAGGTAGATACAGGTAGATACGGGTACAGGTAGATACGGGTAGATTGGGTACAGGTAGATACAGGTACGGGTAGATACAGGTAGATACGGGTACAGGTAGATACAGGTACAGTAGATACCGGTAAGATACAGGTGTGCGTGCAGTGGTTGAGTACAGGTAGATGCAGGTAGATACAGGTACAGGTAGATGCAGGTACAGGTGGATACGGTACAGGTAGATACAGGTAGATACAGGTACAGGTAGATGCGGGTAGATACAGGTAGATACAGGTACAGGTAGATACAGGTACAGGTAGATACAGGTAGATACGGGTGCAGGTAGATACAGGTACAGGTAGATACAGGTAGATGCAGGTACAGGTAGATACAGGTACAGGTAGATACAGGTACAGGTAGATGCAGGTAGATACAGGTACAGGTAGATACAGGTACAGGTAGATACGGGTACAGGTAGATACAGGTAGGGTGATACAGGTAGATACGGGTACAGGTAGATACGGGTACAGGTAGATACAGGTAGATGTTGGTGATCGGGTAGATACAGGTAGATACGGGTACAGGTAGATGCTGGTACAGGTAGATACGGTCAGGTAGATACCGGTACAGGTAGATACGGGTGGTGCAGGTACAGGTGATACAGGTACAGGTAGATACAGGTAGATACAGGTACAAGTAGATGCAGGTACGGTGGATCGGTACAGGTAGATACAGGTACAGGTAGATACAGGTAGATGCGGTACAGGTAGATACGGGTACAGGTAGATACGGGTAGATACTGGTAGATCGGGTACATGAATACAGGTACAGGTAGATACAGGTGCAGATACGAATTGTAGATACGGGTACAGGATGAATACAGGTACAGGTAGATACAGGTAGGTACAGGTAGATACGGTAGATCAGGTACAATTACAGGTAAAAATACAGGTAGATGCGGGTACAGGTAGATACAGGTACAGGTAGATACAGGTACAGGTAGATACAGGTAGATACAGGTACATACAGGTAAAATCAGGTGGATGCAGGTACAGGTAGATACAGGTACAGGTGGATACGGGTGCAGGTAGATACGGGTACAGGTAGATGCAGGTACAGGTAGATACAGGTACAGGTAGATACGGGTACAGGTAGATGCAGGTGCAGGTAGATACAGGTACAGGTAGATACAGGTAGGTACAGGTAGATACGGGTACAATTACAGGTAAAATACAGGTAGATACGGGTACAGGTAGATGCGTGAGATACAGGTACAGGTAGATACGGGTACAGGTCGATACAGGTACAGGTAGATCAGGTAGATACAGGTACAATTACAGGTAAAATACAGGTAGATACAGGTACAGGTAGATACAGGTACAGGTAGATACAGGTACAGGTAGATACAGGTACAGGTAGATACAGGTACATGTTTATTAAGGCAAATGTGGCTTTATATTACCATAGAGTTATAGTATGACAGTGAGTGATGATAGTGATGATGGTGAGTGGTGATAGTGATGATAGAGAAGCTAGTGGTGATGATAATGATAGTGAGTGATGATAGTGATGATGGTGAGTGGTGATAGTGATGATAGAGAAGCTAGTGGTGATGATAATGATAGTGAGTGATGATAGTGATGATGGTGAGTGGTGATAGTGATGATAGAGAAGCTAGTGGTGATGATAATGATAGTGAGTGATGATAGTGATGATGGTGAGTGGTGATAGTGATGATAGAGAAGCTAGTGGTGATGATAATGATAGTGAGTGATGATAGTGATGATGGTGAGTGGTGATAGTGATGATAGAGAAGCTAGTGGTGATGATAATGATAGTGAGTGATGATAGTGATGATGGTGAGTGGTGATAGTGAAGCTAGTGGTGATGATAATGATAGTGAGTGATGATAGTGATGATGGTGAGTGGTGATAGTGATGATAGAGAAGCTAGTGGTGATGATAATGATAGTGAGTGATGATAGTAATGATGGTGAATGGTGATAGTGATGATAGTGATGATAGAAAAGCTAATGGTGATGATAATGATAGTGAATGCTGATGGTGAAAATGGTGATTCACAGATAATGGTGATAACGGGTAATTGTGGTGATAGTGATTGTAATGACAGGAGTTAACAGTTATAGTGATGATGATGATTAATGGTGGTAATGTGTGGTGAGGACTGATGTGAATGGTGACAGTATGGTGAATAATGGTGACAGATCTATCTACCTCCCCCCTCTCTCTCTCTCTCTCTCTCTCTCTCTCACACACACACACAAACCCAGGTAAGTATGTTAGGTCTCTCTCTCTCTCTCTCTCTCTCTCTCTCTCTCTCTCTCTCTCTCTCTCTCACACAAGGTCAGGTAAAGTATGTTAAGTCTCTCTCTCTCTCTCTCTCTCTCTCTCTCTCTCTCTCTCTCTCTCTCTCTCTCTCTCACAAGGTCAGGTAAGTATGTTAGGTGAGTCAATATTGGAGAAGTAAAGGTGAAAGTATGTCAAGTTTAATGATGATAAGAAACTAATAGTTACTGTAGCCCGCGATATTGTCACCTTCTGGCGATGACAATAATAATAATAATAATGATAATAATAATGATAATAATAATAATAATAATAATAATAATAATAATAATAATAATAATAGTAATAATAATAACAATAATAATCATAAATATTTAATACCCGTGTAAGTGTCCGTAATACCCGTGTAAGTGTCCGTAATACCCGTGTAAGTGTCCGTAATACCCGTGTAAATGTCCGTAATACCCGTGTAAGTGTCCGTAATACCCGTGTAAGTGTCCGTAATACCCGTGTAAGTGTCCGTAATACCCGTGTAAGTGTCCGTAATACCCGTGTAAGTGTCCGTAATACCCGTGTAAGTGTCCGTAATAGCCGTGTAGTGCCCGTGTGAGAGGCCGTAGTGCCGTATTTACGTACTGCCAACAACTACCTGAGATTTGCCTTAGTGTTGAAGCGTTTATACCCGAGTGTTGTGTTGACTTACTGCTGAGGTAACCTTCCCCCCCCCTCTCTCTCTTTCTCTCTCTCTTTAACTCTTTCTCTTTAACTCTCTCTTTAACGCTCTCTTCAACCCTCTTTTGCTCTTATTTCTCTTTCTCTGTCTCTCTCTCTCGCTTCAGAGCTGCTGCTTGTGTGTGTGTGTGTGTGTGTGAGAGAGAGACACACACACACACAGTAATCAATTATAGCCAAGAGCCTCTAGTCATTAGGTAGTTAAGGTGGTTTATTTAACTACCTAATTGATAGTTAAGTCATAAACCAACACATACCAAGACCTACAGATTATTCTTACAAGTTTATTCAAGCTTTTAAAGGGAATATATATCGGTGACGTCACATTGCCGCCATCTTGATATTTTTAGCAGATAGATGGCGCGCAGATAGATAAATAATATCTTCCTTCCTTCCTTACTTTCCGCCTTCTCTCCAACCCTCCTTTCCCTGCCTTCTTCCTCCTTCCCTTCCTTCCTTCTCTGCCTTCCTCTATTCCCTCTCCCTCCCTCCACCAGGTCATCAGGGTCACTTAAGGTCATTGCCCTGGTGTCTCAGATTCACGTGACGTCATAACCTCCTGGACCCCGACCACCATTTTCTTTATTATTATTATTATTATTATTATATTACACCTTAACTTTATCACAATTTAATGTGGTGTCTTACTCTTAGGTGGGCAACATGGCGTCGACGATGCCCCAAGACTCTACCACCGCGTAACAAACTAACACCCGGACATTTAACTTAAGCCTGGGGTAAAACATTAACCTACTGATCTTTGAGAATGCAAGCAGAGGCCCGCATATGAGTGGGTTTTGCCCAAGTGGCCGGCAGGCAGGGTGGGCGGGCTGGTGTGTGGACATAGAGAGCGGGGAGCTTAACCCGTCAATACTGGCGTGGTCACCTAGGTCACTTATCTCCCCGGGCTCTCATTACCCTCCCCTTGTAGCGCTCACCGGCCGCCCTATACCAATTTGGCAAAACCCCACGCTTTTGCGGGTTTGGGCGTGCAGTGATTGGTCCACGGTCCCCGGACGGTCATCAGCTAATCCTTGTGGCAGTCAAGGTCGGCTCGGGTAGCAATTTGATAAAACCCACACGAATGCGGGCCTATCGTGTCATGATTGGTCCTCGACCTGTGACGTCAGTTAATAGCATCTGCGATTTTAGGTTAGGTTAGGTTATAGTTTCCTCCTGCTACGGGGCCAAACTTGTTAGTGCTGAGGATGACTCTCCAACCGTTTGCATCCAGACCTGAAGGGCCGGCACCTCCTCGAGTCTTCAGTGCCTTTTTCCACACCATCTCTCCTGTTATTTTCTCGAAGAGGACAGCATTTGGTGGGATATAGTCACCCTGGAACCTGATGCCTTCGTCTTCACTTGCAGGGGGATGTTTTTCTTTCAGTTGTTTTAATGTCTCTCTGTTTATTAGCAGAACCCCACCGGAGGATTCCTCTGTGAGAGATCTTACCGCCGAAGACACTTTTCCCACACGCATTTTGTTTCCAAACTTTCTTGCAACGTCATCGGTGTTTTGCTTTCCGTCTCCTGTAAATTTTAGTCTCTCCTGCAGTGTTCTTGCTTCACATAGATCATCAATGGCCTCATACTACTACTACCACCACTACTACCACTACTACCACTATTATTACCACCATCACCAACCTCCTATGGTCGCTCACCCACAACCATCATCCACATAATCTCCTCCCCATCACCACCATCCCCCACACCCCCACCATCCCCACACCCCACCTTTCCCCACAACCATCACCCCACCATCCCCCAGCCATCACCACTACCCCACACCCCACCATCACCCCCACACCCCCACCACAGGTAAAATATCTCACCCACTCACCGGCAGCAACTAAGACGATTAATGCACAAGAGTCAATTATGGCCAGGTATCGAACCCAGGTAGTGAAGGTGTCGCAAATCAAGTGGCCAGCAGCCTTGTGGGCGTGACCTTCCTGACTAACGAACTGATCATGTTGTTGGAGAGGGAGGGAATGAGGGAGAGAGAATGGAGGGAGGAAGGGAGGGAGAGAGGGGAAAGGGAGAGAGAAGGGAGGGAGGGGAGGGAAGGAGAGAGGAGAGAGGAAAGGGAGAGAGAATGGGAGGGAGGGAGAGAGAGGGTAGCAGGCAGAGAGGAAAGGGAGAGAGGAGGAAAAGGAGAGAGAACAGAGGGAGGAGGAGGGGGTGAGAATGGGATGGGGAAGAGTAGGGTGATTGAGGAATGAAAAGGAGAGAAAGAGAGAGATTGATTTATGATACAACAAAATTAAAACAATATGTCAAGTTAAAAATATGAACACTATCTGACGAATTCTTTCCTTCTCCCTTCAATTATCTCCCCTCACTACCCTCCCTATCCTCACACCTTAGTACAAAAATACATAAATAAAAAAAAAAGAATTTGTGATCAAGATGAAGTAGTCTTTTCAGGCTGACTGGGTGTGTAGGTATAAGAGTGATAGTCATGGGAGGAGGGAAGGAAGGGGGAGAGGGAGGGGAAGGAGGGGGGAGAGGGGAGGAAGGAGGGGAGAGGGAGGAAGGAGGGGGGGAGAGGGGAGGGAAGGGAAAGGGGAGGGAGGGAAGGAAGGGGAGAGGGGAGGAAGGAGGGGGAGAGGGAGGGGAAGGAGGGGGAGAGGAGGGGAAGGGAAGGGGAGGAAGAGGATGGGAAGGGGAATAGTTAAGGGAGGGAAGAGAGGAGGAAATGAGTATGTGGAAGAGGTTTAGGTTAGGGGGTGGTTGGGGAGGGGAGGAGAAAGAGGGGGGTAAGGGGAGAGGAGAGAGACGGGGGGGATGAGGGGGGAGGGGGGGAGGGGGTGACAGTCAACATTAAATAATTGACACACTTTGTACACACACTGGGGAGGGGAGGAGGGGAGGGGGAGGAGGGGAGATAGAAGGGGTAAGGGCACAAAGGTAAAGAGAGAGAGAGAGAGAGAGAGAGAGAGAGAGAGAGAACAGAATATCTCACACACACACACACACACACACACACACACACACACACACTAAGGCTCGTCATATATAGTAAAGATCTATACTAACTGACTCTTATAAAATATAGATCCACTAATATATATATATATACCATTAATAACCTGTGACTCAATGGCCTGTGACCTGTTAATGACCTGTGACCCGTTAATGACCCGTGACCCGTTAATGGCCCGTGACCCCGAAAATTATATAATGAACCATTTAGTCTCACACGGCTCAAAATACTATATTATAGCCTTAATATATGAGCTATAACATTGATCTTGTAATTTATAGTAGGTAATCGTATGTAAAAGAGATGATGTTATTGGTATGTGATTGAGTTCGGAGATAGCAAGGTATAGTTGTGTACGGTATAGCGCGTTATAGGGCTGTATAGCATCATATAGGGTGATATAGCACGGTAAAGCCCCAGCAACCACAAATATATACACAACAACAAATACTACATAACAATATAAATAAAACTACTACCACAATAATTAATAACAAATACCAAGCACAATATACATAACAAAAAACTGCTACAATAACATAAAATAAATAAATTAATCAATAAATAAATATAATATATAAATAACTACTACCATAACATCATAATATATAACAATTACTACCATAATTACTATAGCATACAACTACTACAAATAACCACAATATATAACAAATTACTACTACTACTAAATACTCTACACATATACAAATAACTACTACTACAATATACATAAATAACAACTACCACATAATATCTACAATATACAATAAATTACTACTATAATATATACAATAACAAATTACTACAACAACATAATAAATAATAATAACTACTACTACAACATATACAATAATAACAAATTACTACTACAAATAACCACATACAATAACTACCACTACTAAATAACAGCATAACAACACTACCACAACCACCTAAACGCCATAACAGAATATAACTACAATAACACCACAACAACCACTGCACAATAACATAACAATAACAACTACTACTACAATATACATAATAAATAACAATACTACCACAAATAACCATAGATACAACAATTACCACTACTACAATAATAGCACTAACAACTACTACCACAAATTCACTTAAATGCTACAACAGAAATACTAACTATAACAATAATACAACAAATTCACTACCACCTAACAAAACAAACATGACCACACAAATATTTACATTAAATGTCATACATTTCTTATTTCTTTTCATTTCCCTGGGAAAATATTATCTCTACTTTTTACTAACAAATTTTACATACGATATATCTTTGTAAACTCATATTGGCAAAAAAGCTGCCAATTAGTAGATAAATTAGGTGAAATAATGTGATTTACCTGAGCATCTGAGCGAGGTACACACACACACACACACACACACACACCTGTATTACCTCTTAATTAATGTAATGTGTTACCTGTTCGGGATTCAATTGTTGGAGAGTAATTTGGTTGATCAATATATCGGGGTTGTGGAGTGTTAAACTGTTGGTTGTTGGGTTGTGATATGAGGAGGAGGAGGAGGAGGGGAGGGGGGAGGAGAGGAGGAGGAGGGGAGGGGGGAGGAGGGGGAGGAGGAGGAGGGGAGGGGAGGAGGAGGAGGAGGGAGGAGGAGGGAGGAGGAGGGGAGGGAGGGAGGAGGGAGGAGGAGGAGGAGGAGGAGGAGG